AAAATTTTTAGAAACATACTCATCTCAAATTTGGTACGGTAAAAAGAAGGTTTGAGGAGTAGGGGAAGCTGCGAGCACATAAGTTGGGGCTTCCCGTTCACCTGAAAAGGTACACGCATCTGCTTTAAGACCCAGTTGCGTGCAGTTGAGAACCGCGAAAAATTCAAACTAAGTTTGTCGCTCTGATCGAAATCCTTCGCGATAAATAATCTCGATTTTGTTTCTCAAGTTGATAAATACAATTGATGCATTATGACACAATAATGCAGATATTAGTGAAACAATGGATTTCCGATAATATTTCTCAATATTTGGGTAATTCCACGGAAATAGTAATTATGATGAGATCACTCTTTTCATCATCATTACAAGATAATACCTGCTACTAAGGGAGCAAGTCAGTGCGGAATAACCATAGATTTCCTGGAACATTCTTGGATATGAATACCTTTTCGGAAAATGTGTGTTTACCAGTCGGTGCTGCGATACTCAAGAGTATTTCTGTCAGTAACCGTGTCTTAAATAATTAATTTATTCGACATTTGCTGCACCACATCATACGCCATACTCGGAATTAACATACAAAACGTTGTGCTGCCACATGTTTCCAATTTATAAGTTGAAATTTAATAATTATCTCTTACCATTCTTAACAAATGTCTCAAAACTTACCATCAAAGTCAGTGCCATGACTTTCTGATAATCTGCTCCAGATGCCATACTGATTGACATATGTACTTCAAAATTAGTACACTCGTAGAACACATCAATATCATTCTATTAGAGTCAACCAATGTGTCTACGAAGATTCCCAGGAGTTAGGGAAGAGGGGACCGTCTCAAAGGAAAGAAAGGAAGGAGTACTCTTCAACGAGAAACAACACTGCAGAAAAATGCTTTTTCAATATTTTTATTTTGTTAATAGCCGCGCTTATTGGCGGCTAGCCTTGATAAAAAGGCCCAAACCATCATCCCTTCCGCCCCTTCCACCACCCCTTCCGCCTCTCCAGCCTCGACCGCCACGCTGCCAAAACTCCCTGCGCTTCTTCTTCTTAGACTGCTTCTTCTCCTCTTTTTCCTTCTTTTCCTCCTGCTTACGCAGGAGCTCTTCTATCCTGCCAAGGGCACCAAGGAGTTCCATGTGGCCAGCAGGAGAAGCAGCTGCTGGTGGATTCTGCACCACCGGTGCAGGATTGTTGGCCACAGGTGCAGGATTCTCCGCTACAAGTGCAGGATCCAGGTCTACAGGTGCATGATTCGGGCCGACAGGTGCTGGATCCTGCACCAGTGGTGCTGGATTCTGGCCCAATGGTGGTGGATCCTGGGCCACTGGTGCTGCATTCTCCACCAGTGGTGCTGGCAAAGGAAAGGCAGCTGGTGGAGCGTACTGTGGAGGGAAGGCCATCCGGAGCCCCTGAAAAACGATAGTTACCATTAATTATGCAAATTCATTCACCTAAAAATGGTTTAAAAATTAACTTACAGGATTTGTGGCACGTTGGATGAATTGACGCCACAACTCCGCAATCCTGGGGTCATTGAGATCCGGTTGTTCTAAAAAGTGAGAAAAGAAGGTTATTATAATGACAACGTAGCAATGGAAAAGTTAAGAATGGGAAAACCCCGAAAATATCCCCAAAAAACGTTAATTCCGGCTCTTATAATTCCGAGAAATGTAGATGGAACAATGGTTCCTTAATAATTAAGAAACAATAGTTTATAATAGTTGAGAAGTAGCAAAACATGTGTTTACCTGCCATTTTTGCCGAAAAGATTGAGGTATGGGGAGTGGGGGAACAAAACCCACCGTTTTGCGCGAAGGGGGCCCCCTCTAGGCCTTGAACTGCGCAAACGAATTTATTTAAAAAAAAACCATATGTCGTGAGTAGGTGGGAGTGAGGTATTCATTACCAGAGCTATCTCACTCTCATTTCTTTATATATTTATAATAACCATGCGTCATAAATAAGTGGGTGTGAGATATTCATAACCATAGCTATCTCACTCCCACTTATTAACGAGTTGGGTTTTACGGGAATACCGGAGATTATAGGGGTAGATTGCTAGCGCCAACGGCGACGATTTAACAAAAAGTTGTCCGGAAGTGTCGATAAAAATAAAATAAAAATAGCAGGTTGAAACTGCGACGAGCTTGTTGGTATGAAATGGGGGTTGAGGGAGGAATGAGTGATAGGGGTCAAATGGGGTATTATTCCACTTCTAACCCCTTCTTTTTTCCTATGCACTCTTTCCACCGACCATCCGCACTTGACCCTGACACACTCATCCTTCCCTCCACCCTTAATTTTTCCCAAGCCACCATTCATCCCACTCTCAATGTAATATTTTTTTATACGGACTCATCTCACCATCAACCCCCATGTAACGCTGAAATGCTTTCGTCCCAGCCTCAACCCCCATTGAACCCTGAAATGTTCATCCCTGCCCCATCTCCTCATTTTTCCCTTTCGCTTTAGTCCCAGCCTCAACCCCCATTAAACCCTGAAATGTTCATCCCTACCCCATCTCCTCATTTTACCCTATCGCGCTCGTCCCAGCCTCAACCCCCATTTATCTCTCAAACGTTCATCCCTGCCCCATCTCCTCAATTAACCCTCTCGCGTTCGTCCCAGGCTCAACCCCCACTTAATTCTCAAACGTTCATCCCTGCCCCATCTCCTCAGTTTACCCTTCCGCGCTCATCCCTGCCTCAACTCCTCATTCCACCCTCAGCCCTGATCACCAACATCTTTTTCGGTAAATATCATAATATAATAATAATAATAATATTATATCAATATTACATGAAGGTGTAATCATGTGATCATCATTTAAACCCTTCGCCCTGCCCTGGGGATGAGTTCTGGCAGGGGTCGTCGTAATCCCCTTTCAATCTTTTTTCACCCCTCATTCAATGTTCGCGCCATAACGAGAGGGAATGAGATAGTTCTTGAAATGAGTATCTCACTCCCACTTATTTACGACATACTATAAGTTTTTCTCCCAAAATCCCCAGAATTCCCTAGATTTTGATAGGATAATTGCCGTTCACGGGGTTACTAATTACAGTCGGAAAATTTGAAAAAGAAATATAATTTTATGATAAAAAAAAAGGTTGTAATCTACGACATGTCGGCAATTAGGTCTCAAAGGGGAATAACCATCAAGAGGGTTGAATTATGCTAAATAAAAAGACCCCTTTTTCCACTGCACATTGCAGTATATATAGCACATGAGAGGTGCTCGTTTTAGAACAGGAGGGAGTGAGGCCGCTAGAGAAATTACTATCTCACTCCCACTTATGGGCTGTGCCCCATTAGAAGCACCCGGGGCCCATAATTCTATGCCCGTCTCTGAAGCTCATTCCGGCGTGTTCGCGAGTTGACGGTGGGGCCATCTACCAGATTTCAGAGGATTTAAAAAATCGTGAAATTGACAGGTATCACCTCAGCTACGGAATTACTAATTATGTGCGGAGCAAGTCTTAAAAAATTCCAGTTTTTGACCCAAACGAATCGTGAGAATATTTTACATGTCGGCAATTAGGTCTCGAGTGTGTACTGTGTACCTGGAATTCATAAATCGCGTTTATTCCGCGAGTGTAATTTGGCCACCATCTTGGCAAGTGATGTGCTATATATACCGGAATGTGCAGTGGAAAAAAAGGGGTTTTATTTTCGCGTAATTGTACTCCCCCGACGGTTATTGCCCTCCCAGACCTAATTGCCGACATATCCCAGGTCCTGACCTTTCATTTGATCCTAAATTCAGAATTTTTGACGCATTTTTTTGGCCGTAATTAGTAATTCCGCGTCATGCATAAAATTCATAAAAATCTAGTGAATTCTAGTGACAAAAAGTTACTAGATCGCAAGAAGGCCGGGCCTTAAGTCAGTGATTCATAGACACAATAGAATTACTACGTGGCCAGCCAGTACATGGGCAAAATTTGTTATGGTTTGCCTTGTAGCCTCAGCCGAATGAGTGCCGACTGAAGCTGAAGTAACTATGCTAACGCAGTACGAGGGCGCATATTAACTATAAAAGAAAGAGAATGAACTAAAGGAATGAGGATGGCACGAAATTATGAAAACACGTTCACGAATTCAACAGATCCAATAATAGTAAAAAAAAAGTTATTAAAATTAAATAAGATTGATAAACGCATCGTATTGCGAGTCGAAAACTACTGATGCCCACAATCCAAAATAACGAACTAGGTCATCAGCAATGAACACCAGAGGCTTGAGCCATTCTGGTTCAACAGCGAAAGCATTAGTCATCAGGTATCCATAGCAAAATGTCGCTCATTTGATCAAGAACAAAAGGTAGAGGTTTGCTCAATCAGGGTTAAACGACAAAGGCCTCTACCGTTTAACCAAAATGGCCCAAACATCTCACGTTTTATCTTGATTGGACTACCATCCGCGATTTGACCAAGAAGAACAAAGTCTTTGCCGCTTCATAGTGTTCTCATTTGCTCATAAGATTGTTACTATTTTACTTCGGGAGAACTATTCTTCAGTTTGTACTCGCAAATAGAGTTTCGCAAGTTTACGTCCCACAATTCTACCCGACCGAAGCCCGAACCCGGATCTTTATACACATGAGAAAACCATTCTGCCTGTTGCATTAAGTCATCGGACATTAATGCAATTATGTTACATGAGTGGATGCGAAAGAAATAGAGTGTATTGTAACGGGTCCGTGTGGACTGCATAGAATTCCAAACATTATTGGCGTACAAGGTATTTTCATATATCCATGCTTCATCGATGCTGACAAGCATAAAATCGGAATCTCATGTTGATGTTATGTCAACAGAGTTCATTGGGCAAATCTTGTGAAGATGATATCTAGCCTCTTTTACCCCCGAACGTATATGCCAAAATGCCAATTCCGCTTGAAAGATTTCCTCACATTTGAAAAGAGTACTGAAGTACAGTGCATTTTCATGCACAAGTTCTTCACCAATGCTGACAAACATAAAGTTAGAATTTCATGCTGATGTTTCGTCAAAAGCGTACATTTGAAAAAATCCCATTAACATGAAATCTATCCTATTCTACCCAGGGGCGTACATGACAACATGTGAATTCCGCTCTGACCAATAACAAACACCAATGAAAGTCGGTGCACGGTCATGCACTCGTCCCCCACAAGTGAATGCAATTGACAAATTTCCTCACATTTGAAAACATTACTGAAGTACAGTGCATTTTCATGCACAAGTCCTTCACCAATGCTGACAAACATAAACTCAGAATTTCATGCTGATGTTTCGTCAAAAGCGTACGTTTGAAAAAATCCTATTAACATGAAATATATCCTATTCTACCCAGGAGCCTACCTGACAATATGTGAATTCCGCTCTGACAAATAACAAACACCAATGAAAGTCGGTGCACGGTCATGCACTTGTCCCCCACAAGTGAATGCAATTGACAAATTTCCTCACTTTTGAAAACATTACTGAAGTACAGTGCATTTTCATACACAAGTCCTTCACTAATGCTGACAAACATAAAGTTAGAATTGCATGCTGATGTTTCGTCAAAAGCGTACTTTTGAAAAAATCCTATTAACATGAAATCTATCCTATTCTACCCAGGAGCGTACATGACAACATGTGAATTTCGCTCTGATAAATAACAAACACCTATGAAAGTCTCCCACAAATGAATGTAATTGTAAGATTATGTACACTTGGGAACATTGCTGACGTATAGCGCCTTTGCTAGCACAAATACTTCAGCGATGCTGATAAACATAAGATTGGAATCTCTTGTTGATGTTACGTCAACACAGTTCATTTTGAAAATATCGTTGAGATGATATCTAGCCTATTTTATTCACGAACGTACGTGACAACATGCAAGTAATTCCAATTTCACATTTCATTAGTTGGTTTATTAGTTGTCGAGAACCAAGGCGGCAATGATATTAATCTCTGACTAAACTTATTTGAAGAACTCCGATTTTGCACCCAACGAGACTCTCGCCGATGATCTTTTGCACACTAGTCCTACGTCATAACCATTAACTTAATGCATAAGTCTTGTAGTAGTGACAACGTTTCTGTCCTTTTTTGATTAATAGATAACCTCCGCGCACTATTGAAGATTTTCCTATTTTATTTGATGAACAAATAATGGAATGATAATTGCAATTATGTTTTTTATAACAACCCCCTGCTTGTCCAAGTTATTTCGATTATTATTCACCATATTCCAATGAGTGAACATTCCCACGAAATGTCAATGGATTAGCCAGTGATCGATTAACGAATACTTATTCAACAGATAGGGGCTTAACGACAGGACCAACACCATTAGCCTGGGCCATTAGGCTAAGGTAACGCGTCGGGAGTGGGACGGATAGGTAACAGACCACAATTATCATACCATCTGGCACCACTCAATTTATTAATAAAATTTTATGAACGGTGATTGGCTATATGTGGCCATATAGTTGGTCTACAAACACTGAAATGTAATTTTTGTCACAGAGGTCCGAGAAGTGGCTCTTACGGGGCTATTTTCAGACCAATAAGTAGCAATTATGGTACAAAATTACTTATCGGCCCGTGCCTCTTTTTTCGGCTCACTTATCGGCCCGATTCTCTGTCTTCTGCTACTTATCGGCCTGTTTCTAAAACGATATGACTGCGTAATGGGCCAGTATAGTCAATGACATATGACGAGCGTTGAGTGACACTGACGACTCACCATAACTCCTGTGTCTCAGATGAGAGTTTGCG